ATAAGACTACCGCGGCCGGGATGAAACCCGAAACTTCTGATCAGCTGCCTAGCAGCGCAACCACTGAGCCACCGTGGCGGACATAAATGAAACGAACAAAGAATCAAGTCAAGGAAGGCATTTATTGTTTTAAGTGGGAGAATGGGGAGGACGAGGATGGAAATAAGTGGAAGGACAGGGAGATCAGCCATTTCTCAGACCGGCGGGCTACCCTGTGCTGGAGAAAGGGTTACAGGAGAATAAAAGATGAAAGAAATAAACCACAAAAAGAAATGAAGGGGGCAAAATAAGAACAAAACATTAAAAAAACACTGCTTGGAGTCTTTCTATCTGTATTGTGGTGATCACGACCTAACTCCAGAGGAATAAAAGTGGACGAAAAAGCCCTTTTTTTTGTCAGTGGGTTTCGAACCCTCAGCCTTTGAATTCGAAGGTGGTGACTCGTGCGCTCCCAAAAAAACAAATATAAGAAATAAATTACGTATGAAAACAGGTCGATCGCGCCACGAACAGTAAAATACTTGGTTGAATGTCGACACGGGTGAATGACGAAGGGGTCAAGAAAGGGTGTTGACGTCTTCGGTAAATTGAAGTCTTCTACGTTGTTTCAATATTTCGTCACTCTGTGCGTAGTTCATTAACCGAGACACCCATAAACCGCGACCTTACATGCGCGCGGCGTCGCATCCAATCTTTAGAGCAACGACGCCAACGACGACAGGTCTCGCCCTCTTTGGAGTCGGCTCAAAGACGACACGAGGCCGCAGAGAAAGGCTTCAAACAAAAAAAATGAAATTATATGATTTAAACGAAAACAACAGAAAAGTGAGCTCTCGTTTCTGGAGCAGAGCACGCGAGGTATAGGCGAGGCACCCAAGTGCCGCTTCTGCGAAAGCACGCGAAAGCGACGAAGACGTGACCCCGCGAGAAAGGCATCGCCGACGCAAAACGAGCACGACCGTGGACAAGTCAAGCCATCCAAGTATCCAGAGTGATGTAAGAGGGACGAAGGTGAGAAGTTAAAAAAAAAAAGAAAGAAAAATTCCATAGCTCTTGCCCTATCGGGAAAATGGGGGCAAGAGAGCCTTTAGCGTTTGCGTTGCTGTACTTTCTTGCTGTTGCTTTCTTTCTCTCTTTCTTCCTCTCTCTCTCACTTTCTTTCTCCCTTTCGTTCTTTTTCAATATTTGCTTTCTTTTTGTTATTGTCAAATTCTTTCCATGATTCATATCATTTTTCTTTCAATAATGCTTTCATTTCTTTTTTTCTGCCCTTGCCTCATTCATTCATCCATCCATGCATAACCTCTCTGTATAATTACTCCATTACTTCTTTCTGTTGCTGTCTCACTCCCTCACTCATCGTTCGTTTCTTTCTTTTTTTCTCCTTCTTTCATTCTATAGCAATGCGAAACGTTCCCTCCTGACTTTTCCTTCTTCTATGCCGGGATCAAGGTGGCCGCTTCTCCGACGCACGGCCGTCGAAACTAAAGGGTGACGATGGTCGAACGCGAAAGCGACGACGAAGACGTGACCCCGCGAGAAAGGCCGACACAAAGCGAGCACGACCCGAGTCGAGTCAAGCCATGCCCGTATCAAAAAAAGTGAGGTAAGAGGGACGAAAGCGAAAATATATATTGTAAGGCAACGCTTTGGCGGCAAGGCACTTCTTTTACTCGCCGAGCCTCTGCCCCACAACACATGTCATACTGATGATGATAAGTATGTACATATGATAAGATGAAACGTACGACTAATGCTCACAATACATTTATATAAAAAGAAGGTGGGCAGGTGTAGAAGAGTGCCTTATGAAAGCTCAACAACATACTTCAGAACTGCAGGTCTCGGAAGGCTTTTCGGTTCTCTTCTATTCTGATGATCGGTCCTGGAGCCGTATCCTGAGGCGATCACTTTTTAGCTAGAATGTGGCTTTGCTTGACGTATGAACTTGAGCGGCCGATGTGTGAGGTGACTACACTCGTCACGCCGTCCTTCAAGGACTCAATCAGTATATAGGCACTGAAAGTGATATTGTGGTGACATCTGGAAAAGTTACCGTCTCCGCATGCGGCAGATGCTATTACACTATTCCCAATCCCGAGTAGCAAACCGGGCTTCTAATCTGGCTAATCTCGGTGGTTTTCTTTCTTTCTCTCTCACCCTCTCTTACACTGGCCTGAGTACCCTCATCGCTACTTCACTGAGTTCTCCTTGATAGCTGCTTCATCTAGAATCTTCATGTTCACCTTCATCTTCAAACAAATGGCCCTCAGGACACAAGCAGGTCCCACCCCGTGCGTGATCGTCTTATGATAATATGTGGGTTTAACATCCCGAAACCACCATATGATTATGAGAGACGCCGTAGTGGAGAGCTCCGAAAATTTCGACCACCTGGAATTGTTTAACGTGCACCCAAATCCGAGCACAAGGGCCTACAGCATTCTCGCTTCCACCGATAATGCAGTCGCCACAGCCGGGATTAGAATGCGACTGTCTTCGTCCCCAGTCATTTATTTTAATATTTCCTTGACAAGTATGTTCATGAGCTACACAGATACGACTGGCGTCAAGCATCGTTTCGTGACGTATCCCAAGCAGTCACGTTACTAAAATATTTCTAGGGATCTGCGTTCAGCGTTTAGTCATGAGGAGATCGATATTAATACTTTTCTCTAATCCCGACGTTAATGTCCTTCGAACATGACTTATATGATAAAAAAAGGATATGTGAAAAGCTTCCCTCCAAACGACAATTTTAACACTGTTATCAATGTTAACAATGTTAACTTAAACAAAAAAGTCCCCCCCCCCCTCACTTCGCTTCAATAATTCTTCACAGTCTGGGTCATTGCGGGAAACAATTTCGTCACTACAGCCCGCCAAATCAAGTGGTATTGAGGTCCTTGCTGTATTTATGCATAGACTCAATCTACAAGCGTCAACATTACCACCACACGACCAATGCCACAGCTACATAGCTGGAAGCTCTTCGTGCCACTTCAACTTCTTTAATACAGCCACTTTAGTTTTTCAATCATCTTTAAAGATTCACGTGTTGTCCTGTTATCCTCCAAGTTCCCAGACCAATGACTAGCAGATGTTCGCAAACCAGAGCCTGTGGTAAGCACCCCGACTCTCTTACTCCATGACCGCCCGCCTATATTGTAGTAGCAGAGCAAAGCAATGCAGCTGATTGATAACCACAGTTCTGCAGAGCTACTCCGAACACCTCCAGGTATGTCTTCAGCAATGTCTCCTACCTCCAGGTAAGTCTTCAGGTATGTCTCCAGGTATGTCTTCCTATCTGTCTCTTTAAGATTTTTTTTCCTCTCATCCATCAGGTTTCCATGCCCTTTCCCACAGCAGGGTAGAAAAAAGAAATCAACCTTTATTTTGCATATTTAGGAGGGCTGCCTTATGGCACATTGAAGAAACACTGATAGCAATGTTGTCTAGCAATGCTGTGTAATTAAAATTAAGTTCACTCCACATGTGACGACATCGTGTCTAGTCGTTGCGGAGTTTCGCCTTGTCAAGCATCCTGCCTTAACTATATTGCTTGAGTTTTTATCTCTCTCCCTAAGAAAAACTATCAGCCAGGTAGCCAATGAAGCAAAATAAAAAGGCCAAGGTGCTAACAATTTTCAAATATCCACAGTATGCCAATTTACACAGAAGAAAGACAGCGTGCAATCGCGTTCACGCTAGCTACAATGCCGTGCACTAAGCCAGTCTTCAATCTTCGAATAGTTGTCCATAGAATAACACCAACTAAAATACTGCTACAATTGCCATGCAGCCCTGCTAAATTGCACATTCACTCCCAATCTGAATGAGGCCGGAGCGACGTTCCAGCACACTGCACCGTATAAAGGGGAAGCGACGAAAGCTATAATTCAGCAGCAACTGAGTGCACTGATTCCGAGAGACCTGCAAAAGAAGGTGAGGTTGTCGTAAAAGTTTAAAATAGAAAAATAACATTTACATTGGAGAAAAAAAAGGAGGAGGTTTAATTGGACGAAACTACAAAGTTTGAGGACAAAAAGAGATGGGCGCAAACACCGACACAGACACTCACAGAGACGCACTCACAGATACACACAGACAGAGACATACAGACAGAGACATACAGACAGAGACATACAGACAGACACACACAGACGGACACTCACAGACAGACACTCACAGACAGACACTCACAGACAGACACTCACAGACAGACACTCACAGACAGAGACACACACACAGACACTCACAGACAGAGACACACACACAGAGACACACAGACGACAGAACAGACAGACAGACAGACAGACAGACAGGACAGACAGACAGACTAGATAGATAGACAGATAGATAGATAGATAGATAGATAGATAGATAGATAGATAGATAGATAGATAGATAGATAGATAGATAGATAGATAGATAGATAGATAGATAGATAGATAGATAGATAGATAGATAGATAGATAGATAGATAGATAGATAGATAGATAGATAGATAGATAGATAGATAGATAGATAGATAGATAGATAGATAGATAGATAGATAGATAGAAGGACAGACAGACAGACAGACAGACAGACAGACAGACAGACAGACAGACAGACAGACAGACAGATAGATAGATAGATAGATAGATAGATAGATAGATAGATAGATAGATAGATAGATAGATAGATAGATAGATGTACTACACGCGCACATACATACAGACACACACACGCGCGCGCGCGCACGTTCGTGCGTGAGAGTAACGACGGCGAGCAAGTACGGAGGAGGGTGTTGCTCTCGCGCCTCTCACCGCAAAACGCCAGCCGGGGCCAGCGCGGATGCTCTCTTCTCCCAGTTTTCCACTTGGAAAGGAAGGAGTGGGTGCCTCGGCGCGCTTTTCTTTCTTTCCTATCGACGGCCGCCCTTTCTCCGTCCTCCGGAAAAGCCTCTGGAGCGGCGGCAGCGGCGGCCTACACGCTTGCCAAACGCGACACAGGACCCGACCGCACCGGTCGCAGACACGAGAGAGCGAGATCTCGGGGTGAACGGGAAGAACCAGCGTCGCCGGCAAGACCTACGCGCCGGCGTGCTTGTCAAGACTGTTCGCGCTCGTGCTAGCTGCAGAGGATGCGTACCACCGCTGCCTTCACCGAAGCTCGTCTCGACACCTCGGCAAACGGCGTCGTAGTCCATTGCAAGCCTTTACCTGAATGACGCCGAACCTCTGGGATTTGAACCTCGTCCACGGAGGAGGTCTATCAGCTCTTACCACGGCTCATTAGTTGGTTCCAGACCACCGTGTAAAACCTCACAAGACTGTGTCTGCTGCCTACGTACGAGCTCGTCACAATACCTCGACAAACAGCGCCGTAGTTCGTTGAGAGCCCTTTTATTTTGCATGACGCCGAAAGTTTAAGGATTCCAACCTTGACCAAGGGGGCTCATCGGCTTCATCTATCACAGCTCCTGGGCTGGTACCGGACCACTGAGCATAACCTCCTACGTCTGCTCCAGGAGCGGATGAGTCCTACACGGCGCTTCCCTTCGGCAAAATCCGTTACCACTGTGTGCTCTTACTCCGTTGACCATCTGTTGCGGCTTGCGTCTGATAATTTACTCGTTCCGAGAAACGTCGACTTACCTGTGCCGACTCTTGGTGTTTCCGCTATAACGCGTCGTTGGTGGGTTTCATCGAGATTTCAATTACTGAACCATAAACGTTCATGATTGTGAAGTGGGCCGTTGAGGTGTTGAAAAACTGTGCGCACGGTGATTTGTTTTCAAGTTGACCAGAAACAAAAAGCACTATTCTCGTTGTTACACGTGTCCACGTGCATCGTGACAATCGTTTCTTTCTTACTTTCGTCGGTGTGTTCTGGAACAACGCTGACGTACCGCTTGCGGACAGTCAAGCGTTAACCAGTCAGCTGTTAACCAGACCCTCGTGTATTACGTTGCCTCGCTGCCGCCTACAGAACATCGCCTAAACCTGCTACATTGGAAACCCACGTTACCGAGGACACAGGCATTGGTTCTTGTACCGAAGTTGCAGTGAAGCGAGCCGGTTGTGTTTTTGTGATTGTGTTCGCGTACCCTTTACCATCTGTGCCGTCCATCTCTGCCACTTTCGCCTGCGGTCCACCTCGGTCGCTGGGAGCACCTGTCGTTTTGCCGGCGTACGCCACTTTCGTCTGAGCCCGTCTTCCATCTGCACCTCCCATACTGAAAGCCCCACCCCCGTTCGACGCAGACGCTTGGATTGTTTTCTGGTGCCGTGGGAACCCAAGCTCTTCTCTTTCTTCTCATTACTTTGCTTCAGCGTCAGCCAAGGACCCGATCAATCAGTGGAAACACCGAAACGTCATTCCCTCCAGAGCTCTGAGCCGTAACCGTGCGACTGGTAAGTAGGCCCATCCGTTTTTTCTTACCCCCTTCATTATTGGGACGGTAGTTTTTCGTCGCCTTCCTGTCTTGCCCCGTAGTAAGGTACGCCTACATTAGGGTCGGGTCGACGAATAACGTATCCTCCTATACTACAAGTAACGACCACTGAATGAAAGAAGTTACAAACGGGAGTTGTTTGCTCGAGCCGAAATTTCGACAAGTCGGCCCGCCTTCCTCAATGCATGCCAGCCTTGAAGAAGACAAGTCCGCATGTCAAAACATCGGTTCATGGACACAATGCCTCTTTACGAATTTTTTCATTGCAAGCTTCAAACTTCCCCTTCCTGCCGTTTTTTTAACCGTTCAATGGACATTCTTAACTTACGTTTCGTGCGAACGAAAGAGATAGCTTGTACGTACTTTCAATACATGTTAAGTCCGGTTTTCTTGGTACCTAAAGCATTTCAACAATGGTTCCCTACGTAACGGCGAGTAAACAAACCTTTCAACTAAAGACTTTGGCATACTTTTTAGCAATATATTACAGTTTCAGTGAGAAAAAAAAGTACACATTAACACCCTGGCATCATAATTCCTCTCCCGAGCTTTCGCTCAAAATTATTCGGTATCGCGGAGGCCATTTCAAGTTTTTTTTCTATGCTAATCAGATGTGCAGAACAAAAAGGAGACTCGTCCCTTGCGATTACAGACTATCAATCAACGTGCCGCGTTTGCAAGCCTGAGGCGATTCCAAGGGCAGTTATGAGAATTCTGGGGAAGCAACTACAAAACCCGCATGCGATACCTTGGTGCCCCACACATGCGGAACTTGGGAGAAACGAAAGGGCGGACCGGCTTGTTCGCGAAATAAGCATCCGAGTACCGGCCGCCACCCTCGGGGAACCTCCCCATAAATTCACGCCTCAAAAACCAAATAGGAGAACGGCAAAAAGATAGTTATTCGCATCCGAATTTTACTGGAGAACAGGCGCGTGATTGGCGTCCAGTACAGACCAACACGTATACCCTCACTTACAAAGAAACCACCAGGTAACTCCCACAATATACGCACGCAGCTGTCCGTTGTGTGGCGAACGGCCCACCCTCGCCGACATTACGTGGGATCGCGAATCACGGCCCCAAAACGTCAGTGCTGCCCTTTTTGGTGGACAACATCTCGACCGAGGCTGTGGGAGACCTGGCTTGCTAGCAAGGATCGGCAAAGCCAGCTGGCTTTGCTCGACCAAGCCTAGCGAGCCGCAAAAGCCAGTTGAGCCCTGCACTGAAGACCCTCACACCCACTTGCCCAAATATCTTTGAGCGAGTGAAAAGAAATTTTACAGTAAATAAAGCAGCGCCTTGTCAACGCATATGTGGCTACCCTGACAAGCCAATCAAGGGTTGACCTGAATGTGTAACGGACACCGAAACTTTCGCGTTCAAGAAATGTCTGAGAACATATGCTTGAGATAAATTCTTCGATATTAGGTAGCCTTCTCTTGCGGATTGAACGTCGATTTATTAATTATAGCTGCCAGAAGCGCACAGTTGTGAAAACAGTGTTGCATAAACATTCGTGCCTGAGTTCAAGTCCCGTTTTGGTCCGGGGCTCTGGCGTGTACCTCCAAGTGCATAGCGCAACGAAGACGAGATAGAGCGAATCACAGGTAAACCTGTATGTGCCATCTACAGCAAATGTTTGCGGGAAGCGAACTGTTCGATAAAGCGGACTTCCCGCTTTGTCCGGGAATGTAATTTCGAAATGTTCCATACTTCACTTGGAATTTGGACCTATACAGTCACCACCAGCTCGATTAGAAGCATTAAGCACCGGTATCGTAGAAATTCGCCCTTTTGCATCCAACGTCCTGCAAACTTTTGCTGTTGATAGTGCACAGCGCTGAGGCACATAAACACACTTACATAGCGCTGACATGCATGTCACCCAAACACACACGAGAGTGGTTGCTGCCTTTGGTTGTGGCTATCGGAGCGCAGCTTTTAGGTGAATGTTCTTGTGTTAAACGGCGTCATCATCGGCGTTGGCGTCGTCAGCGTCACCGATAAAGCAAGTGATTGATTGATTGATTGATTGATATGTGGGGTTTAACGTCCCAAAACCAATAAAGCAAGTGAGTACGAAAAAAAAAAACGAACGAGATCGAATGCGGAGTCTGTCGATATCGCGAGTCATTGCCCTCTATAACCTCACTTTTTTCCTCCGTCACGCGTGCTGTGCCCTCGCTTGGAACTCGTGTGCATGTATAGGGATGGCACGTGCACTACGGCTGGTTTCGCTTATCCCAACGGGATCGTTGGCGTTTCGCTTGGTCCGCGACACCTGCTAGGCAAAGAGTGGTGTGCGTAGCACACGATCGCTGGAACTTTCTGCGGCAATATGTAAAGAAAGTTACGCCGCTACAACTCCGAACAGACAAACTAAACTTCAAGACAGTTGGTGTTGTCTCAATGCGAAGCTGCGCTCTGAATAGGGAGTATTTTAGGCATAGGTGAATTTTTCACCTGAACTTGTGGTGTTTTTTTTTTTTTTTTGGGCAGTGCCTTGTAACTTTAAGGCACCAAATACTTGGAACGAAGAAAGTCTCTCGTCCCCTGACTTCGATTTCCTGCTGTTGAAATCAAAGCGTATTAGCATATAAACTGATTAACGAGATGTTCGAAGAGCCTCATTTTTGTTGGACACGACCATTAGTAAAGAAAGCAAAAAAAAACAGTCAAGCCAACAAGTACAAGATACATTAATTGTAGTCTTGATTTTATCGAAAGATATGATACAAACGAAAAGAAGTTAGAGAGGATGAAAGGACGCCATTCGGTCGTTAGGCACCGAACTTACAACCTTCAGAAAACGCGTCCGATGCTCTATCAATTGAGCGACAGCGACGGTCTAGCTCATGTGGAGTTTTTTTTTTTCTTTGTAATCGTGTGCATTCAAACTGAGATGAATGAATTTTATGGGCGTCCTCTCCATAAGAAGACGGTAATGCGCGTATACTACCAGAATCGACCAAAAAAAAAAACTTTTTATATGTTGGCCTCACGCCTTGTCGTCCTTCTTCGGTTAAACAGACTATTATACACAAATCCACAGCCTGCAGTTGCCTACCCCTTACGGTATAGATGCGCTCGTTCTCGTCACTATTCATTTTTGTTCTCACTCTCTAGTTTCGCTACCAGCAATGCTCTAATCATCTCATTTCTATCGAGGAAGTACCAGGCTTTCCGTTGCATCTTTAAACACAAGGCTTTTAGCCAGTGTCAGCCAGCACAGCTCGCAGCTTTGGTACCAAATTCGAAACAATTCTTTATTTTGCCAGTTGGCGTCACGTTGCAATATCTGAATGGTTCATTCGCATGATGATATGTGGGGTTTAACGTCCCAAAACCACTATATGATTGTAGTGGAGGGTTCTGAGAATTCAGACAACCTGGGGTTCTTTAACGTGCACCCAAATCTGAGCACACGGGCCTACAACATTTCCGCCTCCTTCGGAAATGCAGCCGCCGCAGCCGGGATTCGATCCCGTGACCTGCGGGTCAGCAGCCGAATACCTTAGCCACTAGACTACCGGGGCGGGGCTGGTTCATTCGCAAAAGACCTGATAGGTACCGGGTCTGTCGAACGTTCCCAGCCCACGCTGCCATAAGAATACGTGGGAGATGGGCCCGGGAATGTAGTTTACAATTGTAGAAGGTTGGGCTAGTTGGTTTCGGTTCAGGATGGTGAATTTCATAGCACGAGACCATGGGGTAGAAAAAATGAGACGTAATACTATTTCTGCAAAAATATTCTGCTCTGGTCTTTTTTACAGAGTAGAAGGCGTACTTTTCTACTCTGCACTATGTCCGTTTTTTTTTTTCTCTCATGCTCGCGCACTGGGAAATTCACCCGGGAACATTTGACCACCCGTGCGCGTACTTCAATGGCTTCAGCTGTACGGGTTCCAGTTCGAAAACGGACTAATACGACGCGACGCTTATTCCAAGAACAAGCGAAAATGATCGATCACCTGGCGCGAGTACAGCACGAGCCCCTGGCACCGACCTTTACACGACCTTCGCCGACGTCGCGTCTGGCGATCGGATCGGATTACGCGCTTAAATCAAGGTCGACGAACCTTCCCCGCCTAATCCGCTTCACTCGTTACCGCACTCTCGCTGTTCATATTAAACAACGCGGAAACGAATGCGATCTAGTCAGGCTTCTGGGTTAGCCCAAAGCCGGCGGGAAGGAAAACTAATGCGCGCGTTAAGCGAGGCTTAACGCTGAAGTTTTACTGTTTTGTGAAGTTTTTTGCTTGTTGAAAAAGGATTAATTAATAATTGTGGAGGTTTTATTTCCCAAAACTACAATATGACGCGCTAACCACCGTGGTGGTTTAGTAGTTATGATACTCGACAAACCGACCCGCAGGTCGCGGGGTCGACTCCCGGCCGCGGTATGGCCACTTTACGACGAAAGCGAAATTTCGGAAGTCAGTGTACTTGGATTTAGGTGCACGGTAGCACCATATGGTCGATATTTCCGGAACCCTTCACTACGTCTATTATAATATATCACGGTTCTTATAAAAGCCCAGCAGTTATATGTCACTCTTTGGCCGGACGCTGACACAAATCGAACATTCGTTGCATAAAGGGCGCTCTCCCTCCAATGCATCGAAATATGTTCGGTCTGCCTTTAAATGTAGATTTACTCATTACAACAGTTGCCAAAAAAACTTATCTGAAAAAACCATATCTACGCATGTCAATCATTATGCCACCGAAGTTGATTTTCTAGATTGGATACTTTTTATAGTCTGATGAGTAATGTACACAATGGCATCTATTGGACACTAAATGACTGCAAGTTCATAAGAAATTGAACGGAGGAATACCTGGATTTTATCCAGGTAATATTTTCCTGCAAAATCTGGCTAAAAATATACATGATACGCGGGTGATTTGCCGATCGATACCAGCGTATACGTCACTCTTTCTCTTCATGTGTGT